GGGTCCTTTGTCACCGGCGTGGCCTCGGACGTGGGAAGCCACCGGGAAGATGGGACGTGCCCGGCGCCGCATGCCATGGCGATGGACGAGCTTGTAGGCCATTCGCCTGGGCCCACGGTACCGGCAGGATGCCATATAGGAAATAACGGCAACGTGCAAGGGGCAAACTGGGCGTGGACAGGGACAGGGGCGTCGGTGCCTGCAGACACGGATCCCTTGACGGCCGGACCACTCATGTCAAGCTGTGCCGTCGCCTCGGACGACGCGAGTCACCGTGGGAAGTCTGAGTCCTTTCTACGTCCTAATGGGTCGTGATGTCCGTCGCTCCCCTTGTGATCTGCTTCCTTCCTCTGTCTGCTGCCGTGGGATTAGACGAGGCGATCGGATCTTCTCAGGAAGAGGGGAGATAGAAGGGGGGTTAATCTTTGTCGGGAAACGACGAGCACTTCGATCGATGAGCTCGCAATTCTATGACAGGCTGAAGCACGAGAAATGTGAGATGGTTTTCGATTGAGCGACGATAGGGACAGTACAGGGGATGTTGGGTTAAGGTATCTTCATTAGTTGTAGGACGAAATACCAACAGGAGAGATGCAACAGATTTGAATAGAACCTTTGAATGATAGACTGCAGTCAGTTGCGTACGATACAATCGTACATAACACCCATATTTCCGGATTACCCGTTCATCATGGGTATAGCGTTTTAATTCTCCATGAAATTTGAGCCACACGACAGGGAGTATTACAAATTCCCTCGACCAAAAAATGCTTGGGCCTCTGTAGAGTGAAAAATTCTAATTACATCGGAGTAGTGACGAAATTTAGGAACAATGACAGCCAGCCCTTGGGTGCACCGACTGGAAATTTGTGTATCGGGGCCATAATCGTCATTTTAAAGCTTAAACTGGATAGATAGGCTCCGAACCATTTATTTGATACGCAAGCACGTTGATCCGCGTTGTGCAGGCCAGCCACGTAGAGTGTTGCTATTTTTTTTTGCGGGAGCGCCGCATGCTGATATTGTGATTATCGCGTGGACCGTGCATGGAGTCATGTCTGTCAAGTACACAGGGCGCTTTACAATTCTAAGTTCCTTGAAACAAGGAAGGAAAAAAAAAAGGAAAATCCCGCGCATGCCTGCAACTCTAAGGCGACACATGAAGAGATTAGTATAATTTTATATCCGCGTGATGGCGGATTATTTATTGAATAGTGTCGTTGTAGATAAAAGGACAAGCAAGAGGGAGGTCTGCTTTTCCCATGATTGAAAAGCGCTTTGCCCCGACCCCTCCCCGGCCTCCTCTACCATCAGAATTTCATAGCACGAACCACCGCATTTTAAACCCGCGAACCACCCGCTGACATAAAAGTACACGTGATAAACTGGTAATTTCGTATCCAAAGCACGCCTGGTTTCCGATCCCCCCCGGTTTTCCTGCGCGCGCGGGGCTGTTGGCCAGAATGCCTCGCCCAAACTCCCTCAGTCGCCGTCCCTCCCTCCTTCCTTCCTCAGACACCCAAACCCCTTCGGAAAGCCGCCTTCCGTCCGTGAAGACCCATTACGTGGCGTCTCCTGCGTGAATCACAGCCGAGGTGCATGGAGCACATCCCGTGCGGTTGTTCGCGGGCGTGGGTACTTGTTTTGTGGGCAGCCTTTCCCCCTCCTGCAGTTTGCGCAAGGGAAGACTCTCCGGTTCCCTCATGAGCCCAATGGCACACAAGGCCTTCCATTCAAAACACAAACAACACCAATTCGCAAATCATGCCTCCATACAATTGATTGAAACACTCGCAATCTCGCATGAAAATGCTTGAACACCCTTTTGCTCTTTTACAGGCAGCCTGGGCTTCAAACCCTGAACTGCTCGTCGTATTCCTTTACACCCTCCTGCGCGGATCCCTTCATTGTTTTTCCGGGCTCAGCAACACACCACGTACCTCGAACAAGTTTTCTATTATCATGGGTGAATCCAAGTAAGTATTCTGTCCATAGCCTGAACCTGTATTTCCTGATGACTTGAATTTGGGCCAGGTAGTCTTTTTTTGTTCGAACTCTCCATGCGTATCCCTCAACTTCCTCCCCTGTTCTTTTTCACTCCAAATCCATCATTCCTTCTAGTTTCAATCCCTGTATAATGCTCTTTGTATTCTTTTAGCATTTTAAAACAGCTGTCATGCGATTATGGTACAGTGTTTGAGGCGCTCATGCCTTTCGATCTATCGAGCCGCTCACCTTATAATGAGCACAGTCACTTGATACTACCATTCCATGATTTCTTGGGGGAACTTACCCCTTTTTGGGTTCTTCTTGAATAGAGAATTTTATGAACGTTGTAATTCAAGCAATGCTCGCTTTCTTGTCAATTGTTGTCCGGGGGCCATTGTCTTCTCCTTACCTCCTGTCCCTCTCCCCCCTCCCCCTCCGCCTCCCCCCTTCTCTTCCCTCTTACCCTCGCACGTTCACAGGGGTGGGAACGTTAACATGCAGCTGGACCGGTACCTCCGTCTTCTGAGCAAACACAGACAAAGTCCTGCCCTGGCTTGGGTCGGTTTCCTTCTTCTTTCCTTGGTGGTGTGGAAGCTAGTAAGCGACGGCGATTTCTCCTTCATCATGACCTACGGAGCTTTTGCCCGCACTTTTGGCTTTGGGCTCTTGGCCGTGAAACTGTGGACCGCGCGGAGTGCGACGGGGGTGTCGTTTAAAACCTTGCAGCTCTATGCGCTGGTGGGAAGGAGGAGGAAACAGGAGGGGGAGAGGGATGAAAGGGGAAGGGCGGAAAGCAGACGAGAGGGTGGGAGGGTTCTCGTGGGGAACTTTCTTGGCATTTAGTTATGCGGGAGAGACGTCGGGCTGTCCAAGCTGTCCTTTTTCTCGACACTGTGGCATATTTATATTGTGTGTATATATACATATATTCCCAACCCAGCTTCCTGACCGTCCCTTTGCACGCCCCCTCCCATCTCCTCAGGTGTTCTTCTTCCGCCTCACCTCCATCATCCCCTTCTCCGGATACCTTCCCTACGACAAGAGCGGCGACTGGTTTTATCACTTTGTGGTAGGTGGGGGTTGGGCGAGCCCGACAGAGGGCCTGTCGAGGCCCCGCAAGCCCTGCCTGACACCGAGTCGACCTTCTCCCCCTCCCCCCCCACCTTTCCCCCTCTCTGCCTCGACAGGAATCCCTCTCCCTCTTCCTGGTCCTCGTCTCCATGTACCTGGTCAAGGTCCGCTTTCCCCATTCCTACGATGAGCGCACGGATTCGTTTGGGAATCTGCACGTTCCTGCCTCCTTTGGCGCCCTGGTGTACCTAGCTGTGCCTTGCTTTGCCCTGGCCGTCTTGTTCCATCCTGGTAGGTGAGGGAAGGAGGAAAGGACGGTTCAAGTCTCCTGGGTTCCTTTATCGTGAGAGTGACGAGCACTTTGCTCTCTCCGTTGTGCGATCCTCAATTTTATCCTGAGCGAGGCTGCATCCTCCTTTCCCCCCCCCCTTCCACCCGATCCCTCCTTTCCTCTTCCCTTTCTTGACAGGCCTCAACTCTCACTTTTTGGCGGACACGACCTGGGCCTTCTCCATGTATCTAGAGTCGGTCGCGATGCTCCCCCAGCTTTACATGTTCCAAAAACAGGTATTCTTGGCCTTGCCACCCTCTTCCCCTCCCTTTCGCCACCCCTCCATCCCTCCCTCCTCGCGACCCTCCTTCCTCGTCTCTCCCCTCACCCGTTCCCTGCCTCTTTCTCCCTTTCTCCCTTCTTTCCTCTTTCCCTTCAGTCCTCTCAAGTTGTGGAGGTCCTAATCGGTCATTGGGTCTTCGCCTCAGGCTTCGCGCGAGTACTAGACATGATCTTCTGGATGTCGTCTTACCACGAGCTTGTCGATCACAGGCACGTTCACCCTCCCTCCCTCCCTCCTTCTCTCCCTCCCCGCCTTGAAGCCCTTTGCCCCCAAACGACGCGTCCTTTCTCACCCCCATCCCTCCTCCCTGACCATCCACCCTCGTTCCCTCTTGCCTTCAGCGGATCCAAAATGGTCGGCGTCTTCGTCCTCCTTACCCAATTCATCCACATCATCCTCATGGTCGACTTCTTCTACTATTACCTGATCAGCGTCAGAAGCGGCCTACCCCTCCAGCTGCCCCGAGCCGGAGGGCTTGTGTAGAGGGAGGATGAAAGTAGCTGTAGAGTGAGAAGGAGACTGGGACGGAGGAACGAGGTGGGGACACATCTGGGGCGAAGGGAGGATCATTTTCTCTTTGTCGAAGGGGGAAGAAAGGGAAGGAGGGGAAGAAGCAGAGGGGGTGGATGACGGGCAAAGGCAGGAGCAAGCCAGATAGTCAGGGAGTAACATATATTAACGCGCCTCCACCGAAGGGAAAGTTCCTTAAAATTCTGTGGAGCGCAGGAGGGGGAGATGAGGTGCTCGGAAGAGAAGCAAAAGACGGTCCGTAAGAAACCTTAGAGACTGGTCTGGGCTTCGTGTGCCCCATGGATTGATGTGATTTTTTCCCTTCTTTTTCTCCTCAATGATAGCCGTCTTCCGTCACTATTTTTCTTTCTCAGTTTCTGCATATGCATTGCGAACGCGGACGAACAGATACACGCGTGCAATAGCATCCCAAAATCTTTGTTAAGGGAACGTTGGGGGAAACTGGAAGCATTTTTGATTACCGTCCGAGGCCCGTACATCGCATCTAGCACTCGCTTGGCACGCGTGGGTTTCTCTGATGTTGAACACCAATAGTTCCAGAAGGATGGCACTTGTAACCCTTTGTAGATGTGGTTTTCCCCCTCGTGTGCCTAATCCTATCGAAAAGTGAAAAATGTCGGGTCCCTACGAGGTGCACGAAAACCAGACATACGTAAAGAATGGATGCAACACAATGAGCTCTCACATCCGACCTTGTACATACAATAAGGCGTACATACAATAAGGCATTCATAATGGCTGTGCGAAGGGGCATTTTCTGATTAAGGAAATTATCATGAATTTTGCAGGCAGGGACCAGTCAAATTCCAGGCTTTATAGGCATGATATTTAGCATTATTTTTTCCTCGTACAGGGTGGGGAGGCGAAAATTGACTTGGTTCACATTTGACAATTTGTCTTTGCCCACCTGTGAGCAAAATGAAATTTCCTGTCGTAAAACAATTTTTAAACAGCGGTGTATGAACTTCAGCGTCAAAGGATGCGGTAAAATACATGTTAGATCCTGCTTCCACCCCTCACCTTTTGCGCCCTTGTTCTAACGGTCGATTTGAATTCAAATTACCGCGGCGATGACGACTACACGCTCTGTGCCGCTCCTTGATTTACAGCGCAACGGGTTGCGAGAGCGACATGTCTAATCATGCGACTATGAGGGACAGAATCGAACCCTTAATCAGCCTGTTATGCTGCACAAGGCATCAATCCCGTTCGGCAAGGTTTCCTTCATCTTGTGCTCTGGTGATTGGCATACTTTGAGTGACACAGCGGAACGCCTGGGGCTACATCCTACGAAAGTGCCATGTCATTCTTCCCAGTCACAAAATCCAAATCAACTTGCCCCCGGCATCGTACTTTTTTATTTGCGCGTTGTGGCCCTTCGCTCCAAAGTCAGGCGCACAAAGGCATCGGACGACGACCTCCCCAATTTCTCAATCACATCACGTACGGCTTTCAACAGCATTTTGCCATGACTGCTCCGAAGACCCCAGCAGCTCCTACCCATCAACAAACGAGCAACACATCGATATCTGAAAAGGAATGTTGGACGTGCGGAGGCAACCACGAGGATGAAGATTGCCCGCATCGCGTCTTCATCGACCGGTCCTACAGCCAGTTAGCAGGTAGGCTGGGCGTCACTAATATCTCTCGAATTCTGAAGGTGCGTGCCACCTGACGACCCCATTTTCGTTCCCACCCTCTCCATACCATCCTCCCAACAGCTCCTCCAAGTCAATCAGCGGCCAGGTCGGCCTTGGTCCGGGAAGCGCGAAGCCTCACAGGGGTCTCCCTCTCTGCTCCTCCCTCTCCTCCCTCCCCGCTACCTTACCCGCCCACCGCCCGCCCCGTCCGACACAGCCAACAACGGCCGAGCTCCAGGGATTCACCGGCCTCCCACCTCCTCTCTTTCCTGCCAACTCGGACGCCACGCAGTGCCGAGCCGGTCGCCCTTTGCGGACCGGGTCCGCCCGTTTCTGCTTCTGGGCTCCGGCGGCGGCCAAGCACGTTTGTGGCACGGCAGACCTCCTCCACGTCATTCGAAGAACATAGCTCCCAAGCCCCTCTCCCCATGATGGAGCCCCGCCACCACGCGTCCCACAGCTCCTTCTTCCCTCCCCCTCCTTCCTTTCCCCGGGGACGGGCGTCCTCCCTGGCCGGGGGGCGCCAGCGCGTCTCCCACGTGATGCGGGGGGAAGGGGAACCGGCGCCGTTGACGCAGACGGCTTTGGCGATGCAGGTGGGGAAGGAGGGGGCGAGGGAGGGAGGGAGGAAGGGGAAGGGGGACTGGGCATCGTGCAGGAGAGCGGCTTTGGCGATGCTGGGAGAGCCGAGAGAAAGGGAGGGAGGGAGGGGAGGGAG